AACCCAGAGGTGGCGATGGTGGCTCCAGTGCAGAGGGGAGACAGGTTGAGTGCACCCTGTAGCCCTCTCTTGTGGAGTCCTGTGGTGGTTCGAAAGAGAATGGCCCCCAAAGGGAGCGGCGCCATTAGGAGATGTGGGCTTGTTGGAGGAAGTGTGTCACTGGAGGGGGGTGGGGGTGGGCGGGCTTTGGGGTCTCTTTTTCTCAAGCTTCCCTCAGTGTGACAGTCAGCCGACTTCCCGTTGCCTCTGAGTCAAGATGTAGCCCTCTCAGCTCCAGTACCACGTCTGCCTGCACGCCACCACGCTCCCCGCCATGATAGTGGATTGAATCCCTGAAACTGTATGTGAGCCACCCTAACGAAATGTTTTCTTTATAAGAGGTGCTATGGTCTTGGTGTCTCTTCACAGCAATGAAAACCCTAACTAATACAAGTCCTTTCCATCTTATTTATTTATTTATTTATTTATTTATTTATTTATTCATCCATCCATCCACCCACCCATCCATCCATCCATCCATCCATCCATCCATCCATCTATCTATCTATCTATCTATCTATCTATCTGTTTATCTATCTATGTATCTATCTATCCATCCATTTATGTATTTATTTATTGATTTATTTATTTATTTGTCGAGACAGAGTTTCTCTGCGTAGTCCTGGCTGTCCTGGAACTCACACTGTAGACCAGGCTGGTCTCGAACTCACAGAGATCCGCCTGCCTCTGCCTCCCGAGTGCTGGGATTACAGGTGTGCACCACCCCTGTCCGGCCCCTTACATCTTTAGCTGGGTCTGAGTAGACACTCCCACCGATGCCTCTGATCCAGACCCTCCTGGCAGATGTACGCGTGTGCTCCGAGTCTCTGACTTGTTTGAGAGTATCTGTCCAGGGGGCTGAAGAGATGACTGAGTTTGCTTCCTAGCACTCACGTAAGACAGCACCTAACCACCTGTAACTCCAGCTCCAGAGGATCCTGTCTGGCCTTCGAGAGCATCTGCCAATCATGTGCATATACCCACACACAGAGAACTAAAAATAGAATAATGTTTAAAGAATATCTGTCTATAGCCAGATGTGGTGGGGCACATCTGTAATCCCAGCATTTGGGAGACTGGGGTAAGAGGACCAAGGGCTCAAGGCTAGCCTGGACTACACGGTGAGACCCTGTCTCAAGAACAAATAAACAACCAATAAACAAACAAATACATGACCTGTCCTTCCTTACAAGACCACCTCTGTTATCTGCTAAGTTCCCATCTGGCTCTCATAGCACATGTTCAAATACACAGCTCCATTCTCTTGGTAGACACTGTCAAACCTTTCTCTTTCTGTCTTTTCCTTCTGTTGCATTCTCTCTCTCTCTTACACACACACACACACACACACACACACACACACACACACACACTCCCTGGCACTGACCCAGGTGCTTCCAGATGGGATCACTATTCCGATCCCCTTCCCCACCACAGGGCCAACTCTGCCCACTGGCCTGTTCCCACCCCTTCTGTGCCCCAGGGGCCAGGAGCTTGTCCCATCCACATCTTTTATCTCTTGTCTTTTTTTTTAAATCACTATAATAATACTTACTGTTGTTATTATTGTTTGGAGAGAGGGTCTCACACAATCTAGGCAGACTTCAGACTCAATATGTAGCAAAAAAAAAAAATGACCTTGAATCTTTGATCTTTTGCTTCATCCAATTCCCCACCACCCTGTCCCCTACCCCTCTCTTAACTTTCTCACACCTTGCTAGGGTGCCAGGGTGAGGTGCCCAGGGGCATAAAATGGAGTCTGATTCTGGCTCTCCACATACTAGGCCTGAGTTAGTTACTGGGCCCACTGTCTGTTTCTGCCTCCCTACATGAGAATAAAGAGGCCAGCCTCAGTGAGTGTCTGGGTGGCATTTGTACCTCCATGGGACAAGAGGCAGAGCTATGGCATATTGTGCCTGACCAGCTCTCAACACACCAGGCCCCTGCCCTTGGGAATGACTGAATGATCGTATCTTCCTTCTCACTGTTGGGATTACAGGGCTGTTCAACTGCATCTGGCTCTAAGGCCTCTGGATTGATCTGAAGTGGGGTTTCTTGGCAATGACCAGGGGAGCCAGGTGAAACACATTGGCAATCCCAGCGGTCAGGAGGCTGGGGTGGGACTGTCATCAATTGGAGGCCAGCCTGGGCTATGTAGTGAGTTCCAGGCTGGCCTAGACTTTAGGGTAAGAGTCTGCCTCAGAAAAGCAGACCTCCCCTCCCTCCCCTAAATAACCAAAGAAAATAAAATGATGCAGGCATGGGGTGGGATGTGTTTCTCTCAGGAAACAATGTGGCAACATCTGGCACTACAACCAACATCTGGTCACCGTCAGATAAGCAGCTTGGGACATGCTATGTAAAGATGAATCAACACCTTTCTGGAACATCTCTTCATGGCCGGCCCTGCTCCTGCCTATGTTTACCATCTCTCTGATTTGAGTTTTCTTGTAGACAGGATCTTGCCACATTGCCAGGAATGACCTTCAGTTTGTGGGTCCCCTGCCTCAGCTTCCCGAATTGTGGGATTACACTTTCTGATTTTAGTTGTGTGGATCCACTGAGGAACCAGATTATTGGACAGATCAGTTATTTCCGACTTAGCACCCAGGTCCCAGGGATAGCCGTCTGCATTTACTCAATAGGACCCTTCACTTGAAATTACAAATTTTGGAAACATACACCAGTGTGTTCATGGGGATGATGCAGCCCCGTTTTTACTTTCTGATTATTTATTTTTGATATATATATATATATATATATATATATATATATATATTTTTTTTTTTTTTTTTTTGAGACAGGGTCTCATCATGTAGCTCTGGCTGGCCTAGAACTTGCTATGGAAACCAAGTCGGCCTTGGACTTGGGGCAATCTTTCTACCTCCATCTCCTGAGTGCCAGGATGACAGGTGAGCTCAGCCACCACTGGCTAGCCCCCTCTTTTAAACGTGAGAAAAGTATCTAAGGTGAGTCATATGCTTAATGACACTGTGGACCAGACCCCTAGTCCCTAAATTCCAAGTCTGTTTTTTCTTTCAGGCACTAATTTGTGTCTAGAGATTTTGTTGTTTTGAGACAGGGTTGTCTCTGTAGCCCAGGCTGGCCTGGAACTCACAGAGATCCTCCTGTCTCTCTGCCTCCTGAGTGCTGGGATTAAAGGTGTGTGCTGCCATGGCCAGCTGTGTTTAAGTATTTTTTCTTTTTAAGAGTGTGCCAGGTTGTATCCTGGGTCTAAGAATACAATTCTGACTCTGACATAACGCATCCCTTCATACTAAAAACATACAAGAAAGGATTTCTGCATGAAGCGATGAGTTAAAATAGGAACTACGAATGCCAAGAGAATGGAAATAAGACCAGTTTATTTTTTATTAATTTTATTCTATTTTGAGACAGGGTCTCACATGGACCAGGCTGGCCTCACACTCGGTATGTAGCTGAAAATGGCCTTGAGCATCTCATCGTCACGCCTAAAACTGGGGGGTTAACAAGCCTGTGTCACCATGACCTACCAAGCCAATTTAATTTGCTCACCATCATTATCCTCAGGTTCACAGAGAGACTGACCTAAAGTCTCTGGGTTTTTTTGTTGTTGTTGTTGTTTGTTTGTTTGTTTTGTTGTTTCTAGTTATTTCATTGCTTTGTTTTTGTTCTCTTTCTTTGAGACACATGTGGCTATAGAGCTCAGACTAGCCAGAGACTTTATATAGCACATATTGGCCTCAAACCTGTGAGCCTCCTCCTTCGGGACCCTGAATTCCATTATTCCAGGTGTTCAGTGGCACATCCAGCTCAGAAATCCCTGCATGTGTCCACATTGGTGTTTCTCAACAATGGCCAGGTAGCCAGCGGTGTGTCCCCCGGGAAACATTTGACAGCGGCTGGCTCTCCAGCAATAGGGAAACTGGTAAGCATCTCGCAGAACACAGGACAGCTACCCCCCAGGACAACAAATTCCAGGCCTCAGAATGACGACGGCAGCTCTACTTCCAACCCTGTGATTTACAGGATGCATTCCCATTAGGGGAAAGCGGGGGACCCGAGGAGAAAAAAAAATGTCTTAGAGGTGCAATGGCTTGTGATACTTAAGGGGCAAAAAGTTAAGGCAGCCTTCCCGGGCTCTAACAGTATGGTGCAAACTCCTGCCCAAGTCCGGCAATCACCACCTCCCTATTTCCTACAGGTCTCTCAGTTTTCTTCCCTGTCTTAGACATAAGGATCTTCCTCCAGAATAGCTCAGGAAAAGAAGGACCCAGCAGGCTGGCTCTTGAATACAAACAAGCCTCCATGGGAATAGGGATGGCATCGGGCCGGACCGCAGAGCCTTGGTGACCCAAACAGCGTCATCAACTGTCGTTTCCAATACAGCCAGCACCCTTTCACCTTGCTCTTCTATCTTACGACCCTACATTCCTTGTGGAAACGTCTGGCTGACGCTCACCCCCAGCAAGGTGCAGAATTCCCTTGATTACCTTAGCCTGCCCCAACTCTCAATGGGAAACTCGATTCCTTGGCCGATTAGAATTCAGGGGCTGCTGCAGGGGATCACCTGGCCCACCTCGGCAGCCCCAGGCCACCACTCCACAGAGCTGAGCTCAGAGCTCCGGAGTCTCCCCTCTCCACCCCGCTTTCACTTCTCAGGACGGTGTGGCTGCAGGTGAAGTTCGCTCAGGGCGAGGAAGGGGTGCGCGGTGGGACCCTGGAAGCCGGGCTACTGCAGAGCAGGCACCCAAGTCAACTTTCTCCTCGGCAGCCTGCGCGTTACAGCGCCTCCAGGGCTCCCGGCCACGCGTGGGGAGTGTAAACTCCTGCAGGCTCAGTGCACCTGGCCCCCATCACCGGTGGATCTCTGAGTTCGAGGCCAGCCTGGTTCCAGGACGGCCAGGGCTACACAGAGAAACCCTGTCTGCCCGAAGGATCCAGCCCGCTCTGTCCCTCCAGCCCCAATGATCACTCACCTCCACCATCCTCGAGGGGCCGTGGGGTCCGGGACCCCGCTTCCTCAGGGGTAGCCCTCGGCCGGCGGCCAGGAGCGCAGCCAACAGCATCAGGGCGCGCGGGAGCCGCGGCGTTCGCACGGGCGGTGGCCGCATCGTCTCTCCGCCCGCGCGCGCGAGGCTGCTCTGCGGGAGC